GAAGTGAAAGATAGAGAATGAAGATTGAATTCACAGATAAACGTATTAGCTCCAGTGATAGACTGTTATATACTGGTTAGATATGTGAGGAGAGCAACTGAAACAGATATGTGAGGAGAGCAACTGAAACAGTTTTTCTCATCTACGACTGTGAATTAAGGATTTATTTTAACCAAAGCAGAATTGCTGATTGCTTATTATTATTTTATGTTTGGTCATATACTAATGAAAACGTACCTATGAATATTATATCCACATTCTGCCAATCAATCCTTCTAAATGGTCTGGATCTTTAAATGAGGTTTTGAATACAGAACTTGTAGTGGCTAAAATTTGGTGGACACTATGTGTCAAAATGGCCAGTAGTATGAACAGCTGCTGAGGGTGACTGATCATCCAGCATCAGCAGGGCCCGGTCCCGATTAATTACAACGTAATCTCATGTTAATATAATGAGTGTTTAAAATGCAGACCCTAAGTGCTTTAATTTTTGAAGCAACATGCTGGAAAATTTTCAAATTGAACCTAGATGGTGACATGTTATCATTCCTGTCTCCAGCTGGATGTCTATGCCTTTCCATCTGCCTTCCATCTGCATTAACAGACTCGTCATATTTTCCATCTGCTAAGTGTCTTGTACATACCTGGGCGCTAGCAGACCAAAATGAGGAACTGCAACAACATTCATCTCTGAATTATCATACAACTAAATTCACCATCAAAAGCATGCATTTAGCAGGTTTCTCAGCAAACCCCACATTTTTAACTGTCGAGCCAGGATGAGAATAATTTCATTAGTCTCAATTAAAGATCACAGAGTCAACAGATTGACTGTGCCCCAGCCACTTCCTGTACCCAGACACATTTGTGAGAGTAGTAAAAATAGCAAATAGCAGCAATAATTTCCTCCTCACTTTCTTTTATGCAATGCCACTGAGTGGTCTTTTTTTTATTATTCTTTTTTGTCTGATGATTCTCAGAAAAAGCTGTTTCTTCCTTCTTTCAGGGTAAAAGCTTTTCAGATGTGATGAAGGGACTGCCATCTGTAGTGTGACCTCTCTGGCCAGTGTTGCTGGAAGTAATTAGACAAGCTTGACAATACATGATATATTGATTCACTGAGCTGCACATCCAGCAGTAAACATTTGAACATTAATTGGGTATGCATTGGGTTTATGCAGATATTAAGGCTTGTGATTCTGAGTCATGCATACAGCATGTAAACAACTGGGTGTTATGGCAAGCAGCACAGCAGTTCCACTGCAGCTGAAGTGATATAATTAATGCATTGATACTTTTCTACATCTTAAAAGACCATACCAATGATTTTGCATGTTATAGTCCATTTACTACTTAATTAGAGAGCTAACCTATTGCAACTATTGATTTACATACATTTCCATACAATATAAAAAGCGATTGTCAGACTGTTGAAACGTGCTTGAGTTGTGAACTCCAACAGAGCAAATATCAAGCCTGCAGATGCAAATACACTTCAGACTTTTCAAATCAATCTGCCCTGATTATATTATAATAATTAAAGTGAATAAATGTAACATCGACAAAAAAAATAATGCTGACCTGGTAGTTACTGTTATGGAGTTCCTTAAGTAAGTTTCAAGATGTTGGTTAGGTCTGCTAATGGATCACGCTGCTCGGATATGAATGAAAAAACAAGAGCTTGAAGGCTTAAAGGAAGAAAAAAATGCATAAAAAATTCTACAACATTCAAAATAGCAGTAGCATTAGTCATTAACAGTAATGTTCAATGGTCATGATTTGTAGTTATGGAGATACAACCTGTAAGAACACTGGTGTGGTCCTCCGAGGGCCAAATTGTGATGGCTAAATGACTGGGTCAGAGCATTTCCAAAACTGCAGCTTTTGTTCCCGGTCTGCAGTGGTCAGTACCTATCAAAGGTGGTCCAAAAGGACAAGCAGTGAACCGGAGACAGGGTCATGGGCGGCCAAGGCTCACTCATGTGGTCCGATTCAACAAACGAGTTACTGTAGCTCAGATTGCTGAAAGAGTTAATGCTGGTTCTGATAAAAAGGTCTCAGAAGACATTTTAAAATGTCACAGTTGGAAAAACATGTGGGTAAATATTACATTTATTGATCGCTGAATTTTATTTAGCTGCTTCAGTATTAGGGTCCTGGTATTGTAAAAGTGGCTCTCTGTCACACTCTCATGACTTTCTGCACCACTTCATTATAACAGATCCATGTTTAATGTTATTAGTAACACCAGTGTTTTTCCTACTAAGACAAGTCAAAATGTCTGCTGTGAAAAAAAGTCTATTGTTAAGTAAGGCAGACTGTCCTCTAATTGCAAATATCAAAAGCCTTTTTCATTGTATTCTGTCTATGATTTCAAAAAATTAATAACATTTGCTGTCATGAAGAAATTTGCTGTTTGTTTGTTATTTTCTAGCGTTACTATGGCTACATTGTTTCTGAATGGCAGTGAGACATCTTTGTATGGAGTGGTGGGTATGGTGTGGTGACCTGTCCAGGGCTTTTTCCGTGCCTTTTTCTCAATGCATTGTGGGTTGTTATGTGGACACTACAACATATTGACAAGAGAACAAATAGTATCATGAGTTGATGGGCTGTGGGAGTACAAGGGATGTCACTAACAGCAGACAGATTAACATGTAATATATTTGCATTAGCATCTGTGAGACACAAGGGTATAGCTATAATGCATAACGCAGAGGCAAAATGGGAAAATGAAAGGAAATGAAAAGTATGGTGCAAAATGGGATTTAGACAGGAATGAGGGAATGAAGGAAGTAGAAAAAAACATGACTGTAGTGATAAGGGAAAAAAAAGGAAAAACAAGGCTCATGGCTCCCTTTTTCAGTGAAGATGACATGTTATATTTAATTCAATTATGTCTGTCAGTTTGGCACTTGAGCTTTTTGTGAAAGCTCATAAGTATAATGGAAGGATGGGATCTGAGGAAAGGACACTCACACACTGACACGTACATACACACCAAATGTCATTTGAACTGAATTAGAAATCCCTAGTGGCATCTTGGCCAGGATGTTGCTTTTACTTCGAAGGGGGAGCAACTGTCCTGAAACTTGACCTTTTCTACTCAGCTGAGCTGTTTTTTGACATTTTAATCTTTCATTCAATAGTCTTTTCTTTTTTTCTGTTCCTGATCTTTCTGTTTTCTGTGAGGTAGTTTGGGACAAATCTAAGGTACAAGTGATCAGAAAATAGCCTGCAAGTCAGATAAAAACATACTCCTCAGATATTATTTTGTTTATTGTAATATCTTAATCTAATGTAACTATAGACCAAACTTTGCTCTATAGTTGATGAAAAGTAGAGAAGTAACTATGACTTTCTTCCACATCTTCCAAAATATCTAATCTAATCTATCTAAAATTACATTTGTTTGACAGGGACCATGTATAAAAAACCTTAATCTCAAGCAATAAGAGAAGATGCTTTAAACTAGTTTAGCTAGCTGCAGTACTTTCGAACTGCAGCCCCCAGACACAAACACTGAAAAATACAGTAGATACAGAATAAAGTGAATTCCATATTCAAGATAAAATGTACTACAGATGTCAATGCGTACAGATATCTCTGAATAATTCAAATGATTCACATGACATGGTACTTAAATAAATATATGAAAACATGATTTCAGAGTGTGTTCTTCACTGGCCTTAAATGAAAAGACAGAAGTTCTCTTAAATCTGACATTAAAGTTCTGCTCATTTGCTAGGAGCAGAATTGAACAAAGCTTTTGAACAGCAGAGGAGCAGTTCTGTGAGTTATTTTAAACACCAGACAGATAACTGATTAAAAATTAATATATCAAACTTCAACATATTATATTCACTATGACAGTGATCACATGTATGTTTGTATGTTTGTGTTAAAATATTTTTTTTCTGTGTTTTCCAATATGCAAAGTATGGCACATGAGTAGTTAAGCAACTTCCTCCAATGTTTCTGACAGCTTAGCAGCTACTTGTTCAGTGCCTTACACTTGAGCGTATATGATTGTGTCATCTGCATACATCAGGATTTCAACATAAATGGAAAATACAGGCATTGAATAACAACCCAAATTACCATTGCAGCTTGTTTTTTCCACACCTACTATGACATAGTTGGCTCAGGTCCAAAACTGTATGAAAGGGATTGAAAAGCAAAAGGTTGAACTCATGATAGCTTAAACAGTGCGGCTCATGAGACTAGAAGAACCCGGTCCGGTGTGTGTAAGGGGGAAGCCTTCAGGGAGGCAGCACAATATTACACCCAGATAATTCTGGACGGGGATTTTTTTGTTTAAATATGAAAGTTTGATGATCAAGTGGGGGGTAATATTTATTTGATCGTTTAATGGTAATGATGCCAATAACTGGCACTCAAATCCTAAGAGCAATTTTGAAAACTTGTGGTGCCAGTCGTCTTTTACAGTGAGTGCAAAGATAATATTTGTACATGCACAAAAGGTCTCTGTTAATAACAAAAGCGTTGAGCCTTTGTTCTCCAGTTGTTCACTGTCTCAGCGTATCCATTCTTATTCCCCTCTATTTTTTCTACTCACTCCCTTCCTTTGTTGTCTCTCACCCAGTTTCTAATCAGCTTTTGGATAGTGACCAAAACGTTGGACAATTGTACAATATAGACCTCGAGCCAGAAGTAATATAATCTACTACTTTTATGACAACACTTCTTAGTGTGGACTTAACTTCCATTGTGTTCATTCAAACTAGATCAAAGATTATGAGTAAAAATTATATTTCTGTTGTCTGGAGATTTTATGGAACACATTACAATTGCATTTAGGCCTTTACTGCAATAAAACTGACAAAGAGCATGAAACTGCTGATGCAAAGTCTTAAACTCAAAATGTGAAGCTCATTATGTGTTGTTTGTTTTTCTGTGAATGTAAATCCTGTTCATCATGTTTGGATGTGTCAGTCTCTGTCTAGCTTTGTGTGTGTGTGTGTGGTTATCCTACTCACTCGACTGTGTCTTCCCAGCTACACCAGTGTCTCTGGTCCAGCTCTTGCATGTCCCGTCTGAAGTGGGCCAGGCAGGACTCCTCAATGGCGTTTTCGTATAGGGGTCCACACCCCAATACTGACACACACTGAGACACTGCTGAGTGAAGCGGGAGAAAAGAGAAATGTGGATGAGTGGCACAAAAGAGGAAAAGGCAAAAAAGTTTTTCTGATTATTTAAAAAAATATATAAACCAGTGAGTGTTTGCACAAATATTTTGTTTCATTGTCATTCTGTGTAAGTTTGTGTGAGTGTGTGTGTGTGTGTGTGTGTGTGTGTGTGGTCAATGCATGCAGCCTTCTATGGCCTGGTTAAAGGCTATGATGGGGTGGAAGCACAGAAAAGCACTTAGGATTGAAAACAGCTATGACCTGAAATGTTGTTGCCTGTTCTTTGGGTCACTGCAAACTAAGATGTTTCCCCATCTGTGGGACATGACACAGAGGCACCATCTGCTACCACAGTGTTAGGTATATAATTGCCTTACAAGACCTCCAAAACAACACACACACACATTTGAAATGATTTACCGAACCGGAACATTTACAGTGAATTTTTTGTCAATGAGAAGGAGAGCGCTTTTGATGTTGAAAAAGACGCTTTGGACTATTAACTCTAGGAATGTGTCTACTGCAAGCTAAGAAAGGATAAGATAAAATTAGACTTTGATGCCTCATGGAGGTAAAATCACAGTGATAAACTCTGCATAACAGTATCAGAGTAATATCTGATGTAAAATGTTATTTCAGATAATTCCTTATAATCCCCTTGATGGAATAGTTTGACATTTCGGTGAATACTCTTATCTGCTTCCTTACCAGGTTAGAAAAGTTGATTCATGACTTTATGTGAGCAAAATATGAAGCTAGAACCTTAGAAAAATCCACCTACCAGCACCTTTAAAGCTCACACATATGTAAGTACAAATGCAAAATGAATTAACATTTTGCTCTCAGCATACAAATATTTGTATTTGTGATTATTTATTAATATTTTCTGCCTGTTGGTATTGGCTGCCTTACATTGATGGATCTTTGGAATTTAAAACCATATATAGATAAAATATCCAGATGAGAATCATTAATTGGCTAATACAGTAAATTAAATATGTGAAAATCAAATCTATGCCAAAAATCCTGCATATCTAGGATAGTCATGAGGCATTGTTGAATCATTTGCAATAATGCATGAATATGACCAGACTGAGTTTTAACTTGAGCTTAACCTGAGATTGCATGACTCATTTTTAATGTATTAGAGAGAAATTAGGGACAACTCCAGATGGGTTCTGAGATCAGTCTGAGTCTGAACGGAGCAGGGATAGAAACAGAGAAACAAGGGAGGATCTAGTTGTTTTGAAGATGGAAAAAAAAACTGTATAAAATGGAGGTTCAAAAAATACAAAAACACAAATAACTTGTTTACATTTCTACAAAGAATCCGACTCATGCTGTGAGGAGAGTGGATGAAAAGGTTCATCTATCCGTCTTCATCACTCCGATCAAAGACTGCGATCAAAGATCAAGATAAAGTGTGTATGTTTGTGAAAGTCACAGACATAAAGGAAAAGCAAGAGAGTGAGAGAGTTGCATTTTTTCTGCAGATCAGATTTTTGTCATGCTGACAAGCTCTAACAACAGGTTGGCAAAGGTTGTTTGTGACTGACTTCCAAATGCCTTTATGAGAGCTATGATTGGTTAAGGCAGTACTTCTCAAATAGTGGGGCGCGCCCCCCTGGGGAGACGGGAGATGAACGGGAGACGTTTATTTGACATTTCAGACGACCTCCAAGAACAACTCACAGAACATCTAACAGACAAACGTTAAATATAAACAATATTGTTTGCAAATTTTGCACAAAAAAAACAAATATTAAAAAAAATATACCTTTTTGAAAAGGAATAAGCTGATGAAGCTGACAAGTGACCAATGTTTACAGTTTAAACACGTTTTGAATGTGACTGTGTTAAGTCTATAAAAATGTACATCCCAGTTAATCATCATCTTTTTTCTCTGTTTTAAGAATCACACAGACTGAGCAGTCTTG